GATGGAATTCATCGGTACATCACTGTGAAATCTAGCTTGTTTACTCAAGATAGGAGGTTTAAAGACTGATTCTCCTGTAGAAGAAGAAAGGTTGTTCTCCCTCAGCGCAATCTAAATTTTTATCTCCCTTTCCCCCTGTTAAGTTTGTGCTGCTTACCAGTTGTTCTTAAACGTATAGCTTCATTCTGAAACCTGATGTTTTTATCCCTTTCTTCTCCAAACTGTTCTCAAGTGAAATTGCTTTTCTGTGCCTAGAGCCTTGTATACCATCACCATTATGCTTCAGCTTTCTGCTGGTTTTTATTCTCCTGCTTTCTAAATTCTTGCACGTGTTTGGCTGTTACGACTCCTATGCCTTTCCCTCCATTCTGATGCCCTTGACAGTCTCCTCCCAGCTCTTTCAGCTTTCCTTCTTTGATATCAGTTGCTGGATGACTTCACTCACTTGATTTTAACTTTATGCAGTTTATTTATAAATCAGTCTTCCCAGTCTTGAATGATTTTCTTCACCAACATTTTCATCTTGTCTTTTTGTATTTATTCTGTAACCTTATCACAAAGGAAAACATAATATGGCTAGAGCTCTCTGGAGCACGAGCTCTGCCAGGCGACTTCAGGGGCCGGTTGCTGTGGTTGCTGATGAAGTTACTTTTCTTCTCCGGTGTAACTCCTCTGAGCCAGCCTCAGGGGAAGTTATTGTCACCATAGCAAAGCAAAGAGGTGGGAAAAAATGTCTCTGTCTCACCTGACGGAGTTCAACTTGAACTGCCAGAGAAGGTGACTGGTGGTAATGATCCAAGCTGCGGGCTGGGTCAGCAAAGTCATGGGCCATTTTGTTCCATTTTGCTGACTCTGCTGCCAGGGCAGTGGTCTCCTCCATCCAGCAGGGTCACCAGCAGCTGGGCTGGCAGCGTCGCAGGCTGCTGCAGCTGTTGGCTTTCATAAAGGTGAGTTTGAGTCCCTACAAATTTCATGTCGATAGTCTTGACTATTAATTATTTCATATTCCAATCTTGGTTTTTTCAAGCACTGTATAGAAAAACTGCTTTCGTTTCTTTGTCCATTCTGTCTTGGTTCTTTATTTAACTTACTAAATGTTTGTTTTTCTAGACTAGTAAATGCAAAATATTTCTGAAAAGTAAAACTGAAATGGACATATTTTTGTTTTTAATAATGAGAATTTAAAAACCTAAGGAGCTGTCTCCGCAAGTCGGGCTACTTGGAGTATTTTTACTCTTACAGATCTCAAAATATAAGCAGGAGCAAAAAAATAATAAAAAATTCGTCATTGTTTTAGAGAAGCAAAAATGTAGTCAGTGTAGTTAAATAATACGCATTTTTGAAAATATAGAAGTGTTTTCATTAATAACATTCTCAATTTAAATAAACATTTAAAGTTTCAAAACAGTTTAAGAAAAAGAGCTTTGAATGTTTCCAATGTCAGATTTTCTTTGTGTAAGTTGATAATGTAAAATTTCAATTTATAAACTGTGAAATGATCAGTGATAGCTTTAATATGAAAAATACAGCGCTAGTTATTAGACATTTCAGAGGTCTGATGAAAGTATTCGTTTCCAGCTAGATCACGTCTAAGAATTTAGCTGAACATCAATATTTATATTTAGGTAGTGCAGGAGTTTGAATCATACCTTCTTTCAAGTTCTAAATATGGACCATGTTTACATTAGTGAATCATAAGCATAGAACTTAGAGCTGAAATAAAATCTCTTTCTCCAGAGGTGCTTAAATATACATGACCCTAATCTTGGATCATACATGCATAGTTCTGAAGACTTGTGTATTTGAAAACAAAAATAAAGCATAAAAAAAAATACTAAAATGTCACCTGCACTTCTTGCAGTTTCTTAGGATAGGCAAAAAATTCATATCACGGGGTATAAAACTGCAGTGAATAAACACATGACTTCTTTTGTACAAAAAGAGAACGTTACTACCTTTATATTACCTTGTGCACTTTTTGCACAATTATTCAGTGCAAATCTTTTTAATTAGAGGATCCAAGTTTATTTCTTGGCACTTGTAATTTGTTTTTAAAAAAGTCCCAATCTTTTCTATAAAAGTCTAGGCTGGTAGATAGTTTTTTGGACGAAACATACACTATATTATATGCACAGTACAAAGAAGCTGCTGAAGAAATGTGCCTTTACTCTGCAAATATGGTCATTTTTGTGTGTGTTCAGGACACATGGAATTTCTCTTGAGGACAGTCTCTGATCACTTCTAGTTGAATACATTAAGTGAAATCAAAATAGCTTTATAAGTTTTGCTTGCGGATTAATTATTGCCCAATGTCTACACTGCTGACTCTTTCAAGAGCAACTACAGTGGACAGAGAGTAGCGTGTTACAAGAAGCAATAATGGAAGACAAGCGGGGAAGAAATCTTAATATGTTCCGTCTACACCATAAACAAGTT